GCGAGAATGCAAAATACTAATGAATTAAAATAAACCACTTACTTTCCAGCACTGTTTTATGTGCTGAGGATACAGTGGTTAATGAGATAAAAGCTCAACCTTCAAATTTTACATTTATTTGATTATTTGATTAACATTTATGTCCTAACCATCCTCCTGCCTACCCCACCTAAGTTAAATCGAAAAATCTATAATTTTTAAAATATGCAAGTCTCATGCCTATTTCTGCTTATCATTTTATCGTTTTTTAGATTCTCTGTGCCTGGCAGAGCTCTTTGTACGTAGTGGAAAAAGCAGGTTGTGATAGGGAGAGTATATTCTTCATTGACTAAAACTATACACACAGGTGCATAGGTAATATATACGGATACTGAAAAGGACAGGAAGGATATTCATGTAACTGTTGTAGGGTTTACTTGTGAATAAGGAAATCAAATGATTTTCTTTCCCTTCTTTCTGCTTTTCTATATTTCCAAATTTTACAAAGTGATTATATATTATCATAACTAGAATAGAGGTTTTGAAAACAATCCTTCACCAAAATGAAAAAAAAGGCTAAGATCAAACTGGAAAAAGAGTTTTCCATTTATGTGACAATGGGTTTTAATTAATGTCATTAACATATAAAGAGCTGAACATCCAATCTAAAGTAGTCACTCAGATGCTTTCTATAACATCTCCCTAGTCCAATTATCTGAACAGCATTCATCACCTTCTGACATTTCACTTGCTGCATTTGTTTTTTTATTGTTATCCTCACTCTGACCCCAAAGTAAGCTCTCTTACAAGGAGAAACCTTGTTTATCTTGTTCTACCGTGTTCCCTGTGCTTAGAAAAGTGCCTAGTACACAGCAGGAGTTCAATATATACTTGTTGCATAAATAAAAGAGGACTTTCAAATGAATTCTTAAAAATGACTGCTCCAACAAAAAAAATGGAAAAAGGATGTGATTTAAAAATGAAAAAATATACATATCTAGTTAAGTACTAGATTATAAACTCTGTAAGGGAAGGAATATATCTACTGTATGTATTATTATATTTCTAGTTCCTAGCATAGTTTTGTCATGTAACAGGTGCTTAAAACAACTAATGAATAAATGAATGAACATGATGTTAAAAATTTTTTTTCATGACACTTGTCAAAGACTAAGGAAGACTTTATTCAAGAGGGCCTACTGCAGTGAGGGTTTTGTAGTAGAGATTAGTAGAGAGATTGAGCTCAAATCCAAATCCAACCAGGATAAGAGGAGATTTATAGCTAAGGAGCAGGGTGGAGGGGTCAGTGGACGGAAAATTACTGAGAGGAAACATCAAGGCTAGGGGGATTCCTGCTAGACAGACTCAACAGAATTCTTGCTGAAGGCAAAAGTGAGAAGATATTGAACATGGGAGATGAGGAATTTGATCAGATATCGAGAGTGATCAGTTATAGAGAGTGGGAGAGTTTTTGCTAAGCTGATTCAGCAGGATTCTTGCTAAAACTGGACTAAGTGGGCCAAGGACAGAGCCCACAGTCAAGGTCTAGTCGTAAAGAGGATTCAGAGAAGCCTGGCTCAGGACTGGTCAAAGAGAGAGTCCTTGTCAATGTAAAAGTGTTCAAGCTCACTAACTTAAACAATGATAATGAAAGCAATGAGCATCGTCTCCACCTATCAAAGTGGGATAGATTTCTTTTTAAACTGCACAAACTCAGGGTTGGCAAGGGTATGAGAATACTCAGGATTTAATGTCTTCTTTTAAGACAAAAAGCTCCTTGAGGGCAAGGAGTGTATCTATTTTGTTCATTATAATAAACTTCCTAAGGTGTAGTCCATGGTAGATACTTAATAAATATTTGTTAACTGAATCAGTGAGTGGAGAGCAAATCAGTGTAAGTTTCCTGGAAGATACTTCAGCTCATAACTTTTGACTCAGATATTCCATTTATAAAAAACATAGCCTCAGGAAAAAAAAATCAAAGAAGCACACGTAAAGATATTTGTTATAATCTCATATATATATATAAAACAGCAAAAATTTAAAATAAAACAATAAAATATTCAACAGTAAAGAACTGGTTATTAAGCAGCCATTAAAAATAATGTTTCTGGAGAATATGTAATGAAATGGGAAAATATTAACTGAAAAAACCAGAATGTACCAAATATACAGTGTGATCCAATACGGTAAAAAAGCTTGTATTTATATATGGAAAAAAATGCTAAAAGGAAATTGATCAAAATGTCAATAGGAGTTATCTCTGAGTAATTATTATTCCAAGCTGATTTTTATTTTTTATACTTTCTTTAATGATTACGTAATTACTTTTTAAATGAGAAAATAAAAACAAGAAATGTTCTTTTTAAAGAAGGGAAATGGTTGTTACAAATTCCCTTTTGCTAAACAGTGGTTCTCAAACTTGAATATGTATCAGAACCACCTAGATGGATGGTGAAAAGAGACTGCCGCCCCTGTCTCTCCCTCCTATTTAGTAGGTCTGGGTGGGGCCTGATAATTTCCATTTCTAGTAAGTTCCACTGGGCTAAAAGATGGCAGCATAGGATGGCTACACGGTATAGTGAAAATGACGCGGGTTTTGAGGTCAGTCAGGTTCTGATTCTGGCTCTGCCCTTTGCAGGTTGCGTGTGGCAATAGTTGACACACTTTAATCCCGCTCGGCCTGTTTCCACATTGATAAAATAAAAGTAATGCACACCCCATAAGTGTATTGTGAAGGTTAAACGATATGATTAAATATTCAGCACAGTGCCTGTTAAGGTCCTTAATTAATGTTGGTCCCCTTCCCTTTGATTTCCTCTAAGGAAGCAGCACACATTTGCCATAACTGGGTTTACTATGACTTGATTTAGACACATGACAGGTCAAACCGTTTCCTCTAAACCTAACAAACCATGCACATCTGTCTGCTACTAGCAAAATCTTCACTTTTCACCCATAAAATTGGGGATAATAGTATAATAGTATTTACTTTGCTATAATAGATAGTAGTATCTACTTTGCAGAGATGCATCCATGATGATTAAACATTGATAATATGTTAAGTTCTTAACACTATAACTGGCATATGCAAGATACATAGTAAATGTCAGTTTCCTTTCCCCTTCCCTTTAATTGGGTATTTATCTATAGTGTCCCCTAGACCCAGTTCAAAAGCTCACCTGGTCTAGAATACCTCAATCAATCTTTTCACCTTAACCAGATTGCTCTCTTCTGTGTCACATTTAATTTGAAGTCAATTATTTGCTTTATTTAAGTACTGGTAAGGACACACTCTATATAAACTATTGTATTGGATGTTCAAGGAGGTAAGTAGAAGACTGTTCTCTGACTTGAGGTACTTGGTTGAGGTGACAATATACATGAAAAGTTGAATACGAATGCAAGGAGGGTGGGACAAACTACACAGAAAGTAAGTGTGGTAGGAGTTCTGAGATTATAGTGGCTGATCTGTGATTAGTGTGCACTCAGGAACTAGAGAAGTACTGAGTTGTAAGAGAGCCCTGGTTTTATGGCTGAGAAAATAGATCCAGAGATCTAAGTGGTCTAGGGTCACAACTATGGAGTGGTAGAGGCTTCCTGTCTCCTGGTCCCATGCTGCTTGTAGCTATAGTTCTAACTATTTTCAAGTCTTTTAATTGGTTTATGTTTTCTTCCTAAGTAGGCACTTTGGTGTAGCCAGGTAAACACTGGTCTCTGAAGCCAAAATGTTTGAGCTTGAGTCCTGGCTTGGCCAGGTACTATCTGTGGGATTTTAGGCAAGTCACTTATCTCTGTGCTTCAGTTCAGTTCTGTGCATCTTTAAAATGAATATGATAATACCTTATTTTATAGGGTTTTTGTGAGGATTAAATAGGTTTATATATGTAAAGCACTAAAAACTGTAGTTTTTTCATTATAATTGCCATTAGTCTCTGAGAAAATGGAAGGCAAGGAGTCTAGTCTTCTAATTATTTTTTTCTTCTTTTTTTAAACTTCCTCTCTCAGATTTTGATAAAGCATCCAGGTGGATGTTCAATAAATACATGTTATCTACCTTAATCCTATCAGATAAAAATAAGTTTTTGTATCTCAGAAGCGAGACTTGGGATTTGGGTAAATTTGGCCAAGTCCAGTACCAGGAAAGTCTAGAAAAGTAAAAACGAGATAGCAACAGATTCTAGGAAGGCAATAGAGCTGTTTCTTTAAAAATGTCAGTCGAGATCAAGAGATGTTGAGAAAGATGGGGGTCAATGACTCTAATTAATTCCAAATGAGCTTTCCCATCTATTTTAGATCTATTCCAAACTTCCTTAGATAAAATCTAGCTTTTTAAGGAAAGTGCAGAGAACATGCCTCCCGTGGGCCTGCTTTGAGGCAATGTTTTAGCAGGTGCTGCATTCCACCCTGGAGGTGGTTGCATGAATTTGTGAACTGAGGTGACAACATTGACTCCCTCCGGAAGAAAAGATGCTGTCTCTACACAGGACGTTTAACTGCAATGAATGGCACTACTCGAATCAAGAAGAAGGAGGAGGAGAAGAAGGAGAAAGAAAAGGAAAAGAGGGAGAAGGAGAAAAAAAGAGGAGGAAGGAGAAGCAGCAGCAACGCTGCTGGCAGCCCAGTCACAGCTCAGTTCAATATTCAGATTAGAGAAAGCAAGAACGTTTTTTTTTTTTCCCGGAGCCCCCTTCTCTACGGTCCTCAAATGTCTGCTGAAAAAATTCTGGGATGAATTACAAGCTAAGAGGGCTGTCGCTGAATTAGGGAGAGTGGGTGGAGGTGAGAAATAACCTATGTTCAGGGGTTAGAAAAATCATGGATTTTTTTTTGGAGGGGGCAGGGATTTGGCACTACCTTGAGCACCATCTATCAGGAAATACAGAGATGGAGAAGGGCACCAACCGGCGTTCCAAATCCTCTGCATTTGGCAGGTGCAAATCACATTGTCCACCCCCACCCTCGGCACTCAGGCGATATCAGGGTAAAATAAGCATCAAGGGGGGAATCTTGAAGCTAAAAAGAAATAACAGAAGGTCAGCCGAGGGTTCTTGTGTGGGAGGGGGTTAGCGAAGGTCAGACCCACCCACAGCATCAGCGAAGGTGGAAGAATTAAGGGTCACCGTCGGTAGACGAGCCCCAAAGTTTGGGATCGGAGCCAAGGGGTCGGGTCTCCTGGTACCCTAGGATCTGCCCTGCACACCACCTTTAAGTTTCTCGGTTTGAATTTGCCCTGCAGATTCCCAGACGAGGCACTGTCTTTTAAGCGTTCTGATAGCGCCTAGCCCAGAGCTGACCGTTGAGCCGGTTCTCAATGACACCTGGGAGCAAAAGTGGCTTTTGAGGTTGGGGACGGAAGGCCACTGGTTTTCTTTATGTTCGGGTGTGGCCCTGTACCAACTGCTAGCAAAATTTTCCCAATCACCCTCTGTCTTCCACCTTCTGCCCAGGTGACATCGGTAAGCGCCGCAGGACCCGCTAGGGGCTAAGCGGTTAAGCCGCGTCCTTCAGGTGTCAGCCTCGATCCGTTCGGAAACCACAACCCCCAGAATTCCTTGTTCAGGGAGGTCAAGCAGCAAATAAGATGGCTCCAGAAGGGTGGAACATGCAGCAGGGTGGAAACCCTAGCTCCTAGCGGTTTCTTTACCGGATGTGTTTAAATAACCGAATCCCCACAGATGCACCACCCCACTAACCATCTTCCAGGCCGCGGAGGCCACCGCCGCCGCCTCGCTCGCTCCTCCAGGGGCATCCTGGGAGTTGTAGTCCAGCCGCTGGGCTGCGCCGAACTACCCTTCCCATAGTGCCCTGCGGGTCGGGTTACATGAACGTTCTTTTCCAAAAGTCTCCGCGCATTGAGACCCCCCCCTTTTCCCCGTTCCCCTTCTCTCAGACGATTCCTTCCAATCTGTCGCGACAGAGCAGCGGCTACAGGAGGTCCCCAAGCCCCTGGCCGCGCCGCCCCCAGAGGCACTTCCGGCGGCGGTTCACTTCCTGGTTGGGTGGATGGAGCCGGGCGGGAGCGCGCGCGGGGGAGGGGCGGCGGGTCAGTCTCCGCCGGGCGCTCCGGGGATCAGCTGGCTGGCGGGCGGGTGCCGAACGCGGCCCCGGCTCTCGCTGCAGCGCCGCCTCCTCTCGCGTCGCAGGCCGGCCCGGCGGCCGTGACAATGTTGTGGGGCTGGTAGCTGGGCGCCGGCCGCCGAGCCGTCTCAAGTGGGTGCCGCCGGGATGCTGCCTCGCGGGGCGGCGGGGAGACCGGGGAGGAGGGGGAGGCAGTGCCCGGCTGGGTTGGCGCTGCCTGAGGCGGCCCGAATCCCTCCTTTTTCCGAGCTCCGGGCACGGGATCCCGGGTTCTGGGGCCAGGGACGAGTTTTCAGCCCTAAGGTTTTTCTTGCTAAGAAAATGCATGAAGCGTTTCCCCAGGATGATGGCTTTTGCTTCCCCTTGGACTCAGCAGTTGAATTTAAGTGTGTTACTGATTCATCCTCTCTCTCGTCCTCTGTCATCACAGGTTTAAACTTACACGAATCGCTCTCTTGAGGAGGAGGGGACCGCCGCGCGATTGACACGCATATTCCTATAGGCATCCTCCCTCTGCCCCCACCCCCACGGCCGGATTCGGGTGGCTCCTCTCCGCGCTGAAATCCGAGAAGAAATCCTTGGATCTCTTGTTTTCTTTAAAAAAGAAAAGAAAAGAAAAGAAAAAAAATCTAGAAGCCGTTGGTATTTTGCTTTACTGCTTCCTATTCGCAAGATGAAGAAGTTTTTCGACTCCCGGCGAGAGCAGGGCTGCTCTGGCCTGGGCTCTGGCTCCAGCGGAGGAGGGGGCAGCACCTCGGGCCTGGGCAGTGGCTACATCGGAAGGGTCTTTGGCATTGGGCGACAGCAGGTCACTGTGGACGAGGTGTTGGCGGAAGGTACGGTGGAACTCTTTCAGTGCGCCGTAAATTAAAATCTTGTGCTGATGCAGCAAGACTCTGGTTTCTAGTTGTCCAATGTATGAATGGGTTTTGACCAGTTGACCCTCCCTTCCCCCTTCTCTTGCCCTGTGAATCATTGTCCTTGAGAAATTAAAACTGAGATTTGAAAATGACAGGGCTTATGGGGTTGGGGGTGGTTGCTGGAAATTGTATACCTCGGTGGCCTTTTATTGAAAAAAAACATTGACAAGCCAATTCTTGTTTGCCTCACCGAATTATGAGGATCAGACGAGAAAACGTATGTGTGAAAGTGTAAAGCTTCACATCGAAGGTAGGGTAGTGGGCTTGTCGTCCTTTCCAAACTTGAAATATTGATATGAGGGCTGAAGGGTGGGGTTGGAGGACCTTTTAGAAGAGAGAGGGATTTCTCCTTCTACTCAACTTTCCCACTCCCATGAGCAGGCATTGGAAGGAAGAGAGAATTTTCAGAGAATGGGAATGTGGTTTTCTAAGAGCCAAGGCTCTTGGTAGATTTGACCAGGTTCGTTTCCTGACCCAACTGTAATCAGGTCCCCAGGATGTAGCTAAGATAACAGAAATTACGTGAAATGAATGTGGTTGTTTTGAAGTCAGTCTAGTAGGCCCCTCTTCCTCTTGTTTTAGTTTTTATTATATATTTTTTTTTAGCCAAAAGAATTACTTGAGAGTGGCATTTGATTTTTGCTTTTCCTTTATCGGAGAGGATGTTATTTAGCTCTGCTGTGTAAATTCCCTGTGTGTGTGTTCATCTGTATACCTATTGATATGTAGATATAAATCTTTATCTGCCAGGCTTTTTTGGAAATCTTTGCATGTCTCTTTTGGTAACCTTAACTTCGACCTTCATAATTATGCCAGACTCATACTTTTCACAGCCCATTGCCTGCCTAGTGTGCTTTTATTTTTAATAAAAGCAGCAATTTCCTTTGCATGACGCTATTCAAACTAATTGGATGGGGCCAACCTGCTGTAGGTTGTGTTATCGGCTGAGAGGGGATGGGGGAAGAGGGAGGCCTCTATTACTGCAACGTGGTGGTGGGGGAACAGTTTGTTAGCTGAGGAAGGAGCCTTTTTGCAAGCTAAGGTTGAAGCAAGGGTCCTTCCTGACCTGGGCCTGGGAAGTGCCTGTCATGGTGAGTGTTGCAGGCGGGCGGGTTGGGAGGAGGAAGAATCTGTGTTTGGCTCTCAGCTTGTGTAAGCACTGGAGTCAGCTGGGCCCAGTTTTCTGGGGCTAGGGTTGAAGCCTTTACTTTAAAAACACTGTTTTTAAAAAGATCTGACAGTTAATGTCCTTGTGAAATTGTTGCTCTTTTCCATTCTCAGTACTGTTCTAGCTGGACTTAATCCGGGGCCTGAGTCACTGTCCCTCTGGATCTTTCTTTGTGGGCTTTGGTGCAGGATGGGAGATGCTCCTGTGCCCGCTGCCAGATCCGCACCCTTGAGTCTGATCTGTCTCTTTCATCCCTGTGCCAAAGCCCTTGACTGCAGTGGGATGGAGAAATGGAGAAGGAGTGTGTGAGACAGAAATCAGGAGGAATGAGGGGGTGCAGAGCTCCTGAAGGGCCTCTGCTGACCTTATAGTCCAGGAGCATTTTGTTCAGCTAGGAGATTGTCTCATTATAGATGGTGCTACCCTAGCGGTGCTTCCACTCAGAGTCTGAGTGGTGGGGAAAAGAAAAGGCAAAATTGGTCTTTGTTTTGTCTAGGCTGCCCTTCTCTTCCCCAGAATTCATCCCTGAGAACTGCACATCATGCATTATGATATTTTTAAGTGGAACTTAGGGCTTGCTGCTCTGCATTCATTCATTTATTTGTTCATTCAACAAACAGTTATGGAGTGTCCATGAATTGCCAGGCACTGTGCTAGGCTCTGGGGATATTATACAAAACTAGATGTTGGAGTTTCCAAACTGCTTTGAGAGATGGAAAACAGCCAGTTAGAATAGAGTGATATGTGCTGTTATGGACATAAGCTTAGGGTGCAATGGCCCCAAATTTTAGAGAACCAAGAATCTGCAGGAAGTGACTGACTGAAGAATGAGTAAGAGTTATCCTGGTGTGGTGACAGCTTAGACAGAGCAAGAGAGAGCAAGTCTTATGGAAAACTGGGTCTGGCAATGTTCTTCTCTTTATGTTCTTTGACTGTAATTGAGTTTGAATTTGTGGCTCTTAGAAGTATGTAGCTATATGGGAGCCAGTATACAAAGTATTTATGTAGCACCTATGAAGTCCAAAGGCACTACTAGGTTCTGAGAGACTATAGGGAGGTCTAAAGTGTGATGTCTGCCTTTAAGGAGCTGGCAGTAAATTTGGGAAGATGAGGCAAACATTCACATATATAGTAGCATGGTTACTAGCAGTTTCTGTAGAGTCAGGCAGATCCAGGTTCAAAATCTGGACCTGTTCTTCACTAGCTGTGAAACCTTGGATAAGACATTTTAAACCTCACTTGAATCTCTGTTTCCCTGTGGCAATGGTTCTCAAAGTGTGGAGCCTGAATCAGGAGCATCAGTATCACCTGGGAGCTTGTTAGAAATGCAAATTCTCAGGCTTCACTCGGTAAACCATGAGTGTAGGGCTTTACCAAGTTCCTGGAGAGATTCTGATGCAAGCTAAAGTTTGAGAACCACTGTCCTATGGAGTGGTCTTGAAGATTAAATGAGGCAATGTATATAAATTATTTAACATTTTTCAGGTGTTCAGTAAATGGTAGCCATTATTTACCAGCAACTTCACATCATCTATGTATATATAGTTAAGGAGGGGTGTTTTAGGGGGCAATGTGAATGCTAGTTTGGCTGCAGCAATCCCTTTCCCCCATTGTGAGTGGACAGAGCCTGATGTTCTTTGCCGGGTCCTCGCCAGCTCCTTAAAGGGTCAACTGATGTTCTTGGTAGCCGTGCTCCTTCCTGGACCCTCCTCTCTTTGAGTCCCCCTGTGCTGACCTAGCCACCAGTCCCAGCCAGAGTTGTCTAAGGATGATGAGAGTTGTGCATGAAGTGCCCAGGGCAGTGGCCAGGCAGTTCAGAGAGGGGTGGTGTAGTGGGCTTCAAACACAGACCCTGTTACTGCCACATCCCACTGATCATCCCTTTTTCTCTAATGTGGGTATTGGTCTATGCATTATAGTGAGGAATTGCAAGAACCCAAGGAGGAAGTGCTAGAGTAAGGCAGGAGAATGCCTGGGCTGCCATCTCTCCATCAGCAGCATCGGCCCTGCTTGCCTAGTTTCACTAACTGGTCCAGCAGGGGGCTTGTTTGTCTGGGGGAAGTGAAGGCTCTAAGTCGTGAATTCAGAGGGTTACGGCTATCTCTAGATTGGGTGTAGGGGAGGATACCTTCTCTCTAGCTTCCTCAGTGAAGATGCCATGATGAGATGGTAAATCATGTCTGAGGTAATGGGCATGTGATGTCAAAGGAAGATTTGGTTTAATCTTCCAGAATGAACTCAATAGGAAAATTGGAGCAATGCTCAAAGAAAGACTAAGAAGCTGTGCTTTTATCATACCTCCTTAGCTGTGAAGCCTTACATCTACACTTTAAACAATAAATAAATGTTGGTTGAATACCTGCTGTGTCCAAGACAACATTCCAGAACTGCATTGGTTCTGTATAAGGTGGACGAGGTGGCCCTTCAGAACAGTTTTCTCACCTACACTAAAGGAATCCAGGTCTAGGGCTAATGAGAACTACTGAATAAGTCCCCATATCAGTAAACTTTGACAATTTCTCTTACCTACAGTGTAAGGTAGTGAGGCTTAAAAATGTGTGTGAAACCACCTAAAAAAACCAACCCTTGCTCTATCATGGCCTGAAGTGGAAATCTCTAATTTACTTATTTATTTTATGTATTGTTTATCTTACCTACACGGAAATGTAAGCTTTATAAGGGAACAGATATCTATGATTGATTTATTCACTGAGGTACCCCAACCCCCTAAATAGTTTCTGGGACATGGCAAATGTTAAAATGTATTTGTTGAATGGATGAATAAATAAATAAGGCAATATCAAAAAAAAAAACACAAACAAACATATATATATATGGCATACAATTATAACGTTCTGGTGGTGTCAATATGATGCATGCATATATTCATTTAGTGAAAGTTTTGTTAGTGCTTTCTTTGTGGCAGGTACTGTATGAGGTTCCAGAGCTACTAAGATGAATGGTACTTGGGCTCGGCTCCTAAGGAGCTCGTAGACCAACAAACCCTAAGATAAGTGTCCAGCACTTAGCATGGCCGTTGGTGTATAGTAGGTGGTAAAAAGATATTATGAGATGATAAAGAGAAAGGGCCTGGGGGTGAGGTTTACAGATGGAGTGTGATTTGAACAATAATGGAAATTGCCCAGCAGATGTTCCAGATGGGGGTTACCCAAGGCCTTCCAAGCACAGAGAATAGCATATGCAAAAGTGTGGAGTGGTGAAACAGAAAGATGAGTTCCAGGAATACTGACTAGTCTAGTGTTATCATTTTGGTTAGTACAAGTTTACCTTGCAGAATCAAGGAGAGAAAGACATGGAATAGTAGAAGGAAATTCTTTTACATTTGCTCCCTGGTTGTGCTTGCTGCTTACTTTCTTCAGTGGCCCTGGGCCTTTTGAGTAACTATGGAATAGCTATCCAGTATGCACTGCTCCCTCTATGCCGCAGCCCTGTGCTAATCATGGGGCAAGATAGTGGCTGGTGTCTGCAGAAGGAGTGATCCTGAAGGTTTGAAGAGGAGCAAGAAGCTTGAGGGAGAAGCAGGTGGGGGAGTGAGATGACCAGTGTTAGAAAGGAGTGGACAGGGGAGATAATGAGGATGTTTGACCAGAGCGGAAGGTGTGTTGGAGAGAAAAGAAAAGGAAGTAAGGTTATGGAGAGCTTTAGTGGCAGGCGGGGAGGGTTAGTTATAAGCACCTGAGGTCTTCTCTTGACGCAAACACCAATTTGATTCCTCCCACTTCAGATGTCTTTGCCTGCTGAGAAGTCTGGTTTTTTAGTGGCAACTGCAGATTTTCAGGGGGTGGTTTGTGAATGGTGTCTTCTTCCTGGCTTCAGGCATGATGACGGTTATAGCTTTGCTAAATATAGCCAAATCTAGAATTCAGAAATGAAATCCAGAATAAGCAATTGCATGGTCAAAGCCTTTCCTTTAGTCTTTCTAACAAAGTCATGCTCGTTTAATGAGAGATGATGAAGAGGGAGAAACAGTTTCACATGCATTTTGAGTGGGAGGGATGGGGGGAGGCATATACTTGTACCTCAATAGCTAAAACTGCATCTAGAGTACACAGGAAAAGCTTGATAAATATTAATAAAGTACACATGAAAAAATATTACTTCATCAGAGCAGTCATTTTAACTTGCAGTATTTGAAAGTTGACGTTTCAGAAAGGGGACTAACACCATCGTCTACCTTCATCTTGTACTCTTCGAAGAATAAATGCTTTCTGAGCCTGCTTAAGAAATAACTGACATCTGCATTTGAAAGAGCCAAACAATGGTAATAATAGAAAGGGTATTATCTAGTGAAGTAGCATCTAGCACTGTGAGGCAGCAAAGAGTAGCCTTCAGTCTGCTTTTCTGAAGCCATCTTTTGGTATGGTGGAAGGAGCCCTGCAGTATAAATTGGGAGATTGAGGTTTGTTGGTTCATTCATTGCTATATGCAGTAACCGTTACTGAGAACTCACTATGTTCTGGACATCATGCAGTGATAAATAAGACATGGCTCTGCCTCGAGGAACTCACAATCATAGAACTTAAGGCACATGAGCAAACAGCACCAAGCACTCTGTGATGGAGGGATGTAAAAGGGCTAGGGGAACAGTCACGGGGGAGCAATTAATTTGTAGGGTGAAGGGTAGTCAGGGAAAGCTAAAGAAAGGGGATATTTGAGGTATGTCTTCAAAAATAAGAATTTATGGGGACCAGCCCCGTGTCCTAGTGGTTAAGTTCAGCATGCTCTGCTTCGGCAGCCTGGGTTTGGTTTTGGGGCAAGGACCTACACCACTCATCGGTGGCCATGCTGTGGCAGCGACCCACATACAAAATAGAGGAAGATTGGCACAGATGTTAGCTCAGGGTGAATCTTCCCCAGCAAAAAAAAAAAAGAATTTATTACTAGATGGACAAGGTTGAGAGAATATTCTAGGCAGAGAGTATAACATGGCCAAAGACACAAAAGCAGGAAAGTACCGTGCCTGCTGGGAGCTGCATGTTTTGTGATAGCAGTAATCTATTAGTGGTTCAGGGCTGTGCTGTCTAATAAAGTAGCCATTAGCCACGTATGGCTGTTTAAATTTAAATCATCTAAAATAAAATAAAAATTTAATTCTTCAGATGCACTAGCCACATTTCAGTTGCTTAATAGCCACATGTGGCTAGTGCCTACAGTTTTGGACAGCACAGATAGAGAACATTTCATCATCGCAGAAAGTTCTGTTGGGCGGTGTTGGTTTAGAGCAATAGTCTCTAAACTTTTTGGATAGATAAGCACTATCAGTTAAAAAAAACATGCAATTCCTTCACAGATCTATGCTTGCTTATTTATAAGTTATATTTGTGTCCTGCTATCATTAGCTAATATCTAAAGGCACAGCTTATACTTAAAATGAAGTTCGTCATTTAGTTAGTGGATGCAAGTCTGTATTTTAAATAATCTCAATAAGGTTTTGGTAACTGTCTTGTCACATCTTATTGGATTGTGATTGTTTCTACATTGTAATGTGACTAATGAAGAGTATACCAGGAAGAGAGTGAGGCTTTCCCATTCTCCTGTTCATCTATGTTTGTGTTATCTTTCATCCAAGGTTTCTTTGCAGGAATCTTTTTAAGCCCCTTGTTTATTTTATGAGGGTTAATTCATTTTAAACAAATGTAATCAGTAAATCCACTTAACCAAGCACATGAACTGCAGTACATCTCAGTACATCTCAGCCTGTGCAATGGAGCTTCCAGTCTTCCCTCAGGATTCCATCAGATTTGTATGAGACACGTGACTGACATATGGACTGAATGGGAGCACTAGTGTTGGGCCGTATATGAAATATTAATGAAGATAAAATCTTATTTTTTAAGATGAAAATTAATATAAATAGAGAGTCTCATATTTTCATATTTTCTTTCTATTTCTCTGGATTGTTTTGTGTACCTGTGTTTGGAGACCATGGGTCTAGAGCAGTGGTTCTTAACCAGGGGTGATTATTCCCAGGTGACTTTCAGCAGTGTCTGGAGACATTGGTGGTTGTCACAAGGAGGGGGGTAATACTGGCATCTAGTGGGTATAGGCCAGTGATACTGCTAAACGTCCTACAGTGCACACAACAGCCCCCCCAACAAAGAATTACCCAGTCCACAATGTCAGTAGTGCCAAGGTGGCACAACATGATATGTTGACCAAAATGGAGAGAGAGAGAGGAGTCAGGGATGGCTCAGAAGGGTCTAATTTGTGTGACTTCAAGCAAATCACTTAATTTTAAAATTCATTTTCTCAGAATCAATGAGCCAGCAATCTTTCTTAACCTATTATGGTTAAAAATCTTTGTCATTTTCTGTATAAAATAGCTACTTCCAGAAATAAACCAGTAAACCAAAGGAGATAGAGTGGCAAGTCTTTGTAGGCTCTGGTGAGGGGAGTTGTAACAGTACTCTACCACTGACTAAATATAGATTATGAGCTTTAAAAAATTCTCTCCATATTCCCATATCTGAGCAACCCCAAAATGTTTTGGAAGCATTTTCTGACTTGAATTGCTCATAGGGAGGTTCAGTTGGGAAGGGTTATTAAAGATCAGAATGTTATGAGAGAAGATATTGATAGTCTTTTGTACAAGGAAGAATTTTCAGGAAGAGTCTGGTGCTTACAGCTAGGTGTCTTCGGTTCAAGTTCTTTCATTATTTGTCAGTTTGGCTTTGGGGAAGTTGTTTAACCAATATGAGCCACTGCTTCATCATGTATAGTAAATGACCTTGCTACCTCTGTAGGGGTCTTGTGATCATAAAACGAGAGGATGTAGGTTTACTATACAGTGCTTAAAAGACAGCTTGCCCTGCCAGCCAGGAGTAGAAAGCTTTACTGAGCATCTAGGACATTGTCAGCTCTGTCTGAGTTGCTACGGCAAATAGGGAAGTAATGGAAGATTTGGCTTCTGTCCTCCTAGTTGACATGATGTGAACAACATACAAGAAACAAGTGCATCCTACAAGACAACAACTATTGAAATGCTGGGGTGTGTGGTGTAGTCTCTAAATTCTGGAGGAGTTGAGGGGAAGGAGGTCAGTGAGGACCGAAATAGTTAGGAAAGATTTCGTGAAGATGGATTGTTCTTTTTTTTTTTTTTTTGTGAGGAAGACCAGCCCTGACCTAACATCTGATGCCAATCCTCCTCTTTTTTTTTTTTTTTTTGCTGAGGAAGCTTGGTCCTGGGCTAACATCCATGGCCATCTTCCTCTACTGTATGTGGGATGCCACCACAGCACGGCATAACAGGCAGTGCGTTGGTGTGCGCCTGGGATCCGAACTGGTGAACTCCGGGCCGCTGTAGCGGAACACGCGTGCTTAACCGCTTGCACCACCGGGCCGGCCCCAAGATGGATTGTTCTTAACTGTGAGTCTTTTGTCTGGAAC